TCCATCTCTGTATTACTGGTATTATCGCTCTGCATTAACTCCGCAATTAACGTGGCTTTTGTTTTGTTACTTGCCACTCTGCCTCGAGCTTCCAGTAAGTCCTTTAGCGTGGTTCTTTTAAGTAGCTGGTACTGCTGAGCCATTCATTCCTTTGCTTGTTTTGAAATGTCCATTTGGGATTCGAATCCCTCCGCTTGCCACCAGTTGTAAGGAAATCAAGTATAGCTGAACCGCTTTGATAATTCCTCCTGCAATGCCAGCGTCTAAGGTAGTTCCAAGCAATGAAGTCCATAAGAAATATAACAGCTTCCCAAGATAATCCCCTTGGTAAAGCATACGAATTCCCAAATAACAGTCAGAGTCCAGAATCAGGATACAAGTAGATCTGAGGTCTGGAATCTCCAGCCTGCTTTTTATTAGGGTTACAGACAAAAAATACACACCCAGGGGGAGGCATTAAATCACCAATCAGGTACAGGTTACAGCCCCTACCTCCCTCCCCTCTGATAAACAGTTAACTTCATTAAAACGTGCACTATTTTACCCCAGTTCTGGATGTACCCCAAAAACAGGGGGTACACCTTTAAATTGGGCACCGCTGGATAGTGCTCACTGGTGGGGACAATATGTCAAAAAATCAGTCCATTCGGATGAATGGTTCGGGAGTTATGGAGCACTAAAGTTTTGACCGACCGCACGGATCATCTAGCCGAAAATAGTTCCATAAGTTTTGGCCCTGCGGTCGGTCTCCGTTTAGGCGAATAAAAAAGACGAAAGTCCTGCCATCCGTTCGCATCTTCGTGGTCGTTGAAATCCCCATACGAAGTTGCATGTAACTACCGAACGGCCGGTCATTCGGTTTTTTCCGTGCGAAGTTCTGGATGTATGGAGGTCTCAGCGGTGTTCGCCTGTTTGTGTATCCGATTTTAGTTCCACGCGTTTGACGGGCAAACACCGCTGTTCGCACGTAAAATGGCCGCGACCACGTGTAAAGTGCCGAAATGGCGGCCACCTAGAGTTTACACGGGGAATTCGCCTGAATCCATTCGAATGGTAGAAATTATAGCTATATGCCGAATTCCAGCTGAATTGGGTGAATTAACTTGTGCAACAAAGGTAGAAATCCTGATGAACGGAGTCATTTCTTCACAGGCTCCAGACTGGGCCCCAGGTTGTATGTGTAGGGGCTTCAGACAGGGCCCCAGGCAGTATGTGTAAGGGCTCCAGACTTGGCCCCATGCAGTATGTGTAGGGGCTTCAGACTGGGCCCCAGGCACTATGTGTAAGGGCTCCAGACTGGGCTCCCAGGCAGTTTGTGTAGGGGCTTCAGACTGGACCCTATGCAGTATGTGTAGGGGCTCCAGATTAGGCCCCAGGCAGTATGTGTAGGGGCTCCAGACTTGCCCCAAGCGGTATGTTTAAGGGCTCCAGACTGGGCTCCCAGGCAGTTTGTGTAAGGGCTCCAGACTGCGCCCCAGGTTGTATGTGTAGGGGCTTCAGACAGGGCCCCAGGCAGTATGTGTAAGGGCTCCAGACTTGGCCCCATGCAGTATGTGTAGGGGCTTCAGATTAGGCCCCAGGCAGTATGTGTAAGGGCTCCAGACTTGGCCCCATGCGGTATGTGTAGGGGCTTCAGATCGGGCCGCAGGCAGTATGTGTAAGGGCTCCAGACTGGGCTCCCAGGCAGTTTGTGTAGGGGCTCCTGACTGGATTGTGATGGAGGGCTGTAAGTGAGTGCTTTGTATGCAGCTTTGTGCTCGTTAGATTTAATTAATGAGGGATTGATCATGTGTTTAGATTAGACTCACTTAGTGAGCATGGAGGTCAGAATAAAGAACAATGCTCATCATTGTCCTTCTAGAGAGAGAGAATGGGCCGCTTCCCTTTCTATTTGGCCACCTCTAGGACTGCACAGTATTCCTTGCCACCTCTAGGACTGCATAGTATTCATTGCCACCTCTGGAACTGCATTGCTCCCCCCCTTTCTAATGCTAGATCTATGATCTCCTTTAGTATTGGATGGGTGAACCGGTGTCCTCTACAATCGGACAACATAGCCACCATAACAACTTCATCTCAAGTGCCAAGAGGTCCCAGGCACCAACTCACTTTGAGCGGTTACACCATTCACAAATGGTTTAACACCAAAGTTGGGAAGATGGCACCTGTTCGCTCTGATTCCGACTATGGCCCAAATGTTCAATCAGAGAGCATTTATCACTACCTCCCCATTCACAATAGTCTGTGTAATTTTTTTGATTGAGATTAACTTATGGTGCCCACACTGTTCCTTTCCGATATTATACCTGGCTAGCTGTATTACTAAATAGACTAGCTAATTTAACCCCTTAAGGACACATGACGTGTGACATGTCATGATTCCCTTTTATTTCAGAAGTTTGGTCCTTAAGGGGTTAAGGTAACTAGTCTCTGGCTAGTTTCAATCAGCCGTAAGTCACTACACATTGCTGGTTTTAATCACATGGTAACCTTAGCCAGCCGCTCTAGGACAGTGTCTGAATCTGTGCCATGGTAAACTTATCTCTGTATTTCAGGCCGGCGTAAATGACAGAACTGGCGTCCAAACACGGGCTTGAAGGAAGCGGATGTATACAAGGGGGAGGAATCCGCTGCCTTCTTTCGGGCTAAGGGGGTTTGATACCGTCTGGAGCACTTCACCCTGTGTTGCTTGTGACTGTACGGGGACTCTATCGGAAGCCCTGCGGCTCTCGCCGGGCACCGCGTCCTACAGCAATACAAGCATTCTGACTACTGGGCTGTGCACCCCTCTATTTGCAGATACTATGTGACAATGGAAACCCATGACTGACATTCATCCTGTTCTCAGCACTCCTGCTTAGCCTTGCCTCTTCAGGGCCAACAACTGTGCCAGCTCCAGTTACAATGTAAAAGGGGTAGTATAACGTATCCAAACCTACCATGCTGCTGCAAACACTGGGGGGCAGACGGTTTGTTACATCAGATGATTCATTTTTGGACCCCTGACACTGTATACACATTGCAGAAAGGATCAGGAGCAGCAGGGGGGAGGGTGGGGTGTATTAGAACAAGCAGTGTCAGTAAAACCAAGCCATGTTAATACATTGATATTGTAAATAAATGTGGACTTTCTATAGCTGCTACATCTCTTCTCCCACTGAAATCAGTCGTACCACCAATGTGTGACCATGTGAAGGCCACGCTCCGCCAGGTACAGTCCCACGACACCTGGCACTTTCCAACTGCCCTATATCTGTGGATTAATTATTTAGGCAAACCCTCTTTCTGGAAAAAGGATGTAATTTGCTGCAGTTTTTAAGACATCATAGCAAAGTCTGTGTGAAAATGTCATTTATAATTATTAAAGAGAAAACATTCAAGCTATTTTTCAGTTCTATAAGAAACACACAGAAAAGGAGGGGAGGGTTCCCCTGGCACAAACTGGGGAAAAAAAAAAAAAAAATCTTGCTGAAAGAATATGCTAATATGTGCTAAAAGAAAACCGTTCCTTATTAAAGAGTTAACTTAAAGTTTATTTTCTCTGCAAGTTGAACCTTAATTTACACACAGGGGGCTCCTGAAAGGTCTAGCAAGTTTTCAACAGAGCAGGAGATAAATTCTAAAGTAAACAGAATTTGCAGTGTAAACATTAGATGATTCTTTACAGGAAGTCTTTAGGAAGGCTGTGTAAGTCACATACAGGGAGGTGTTGCTAGGACTGCATAAACAAAGTGATTCAACTCCTAGATGGCAGTGAATTGCGCAGTGAGACTGCAAGGGCATGATCTATACACCAACACTGCTTTATTTAGCTAAAAATGTGTTGGTGACTATAGTGTCCCTATAAATCTGTCAATCTACTGGCAGTAGCAACAAACAGAATTGTGTCCCCTCCTCAAGAAATTAATAAAATGTACCATGTTAGAATAAAGATTTGAAATTACCAGTTTATTCAGGAATACCCTATATTATAATCAGTGTTTTGCTGAAAGGGGATAATTTCACTACTAAATCATCACTGAGTTACTCTAACCTCAAGGGCACCTACCTTCTAAATTCAGTCTGAACTACAATATCTAAAAGACCTTTAAGCTATAGCTATGTAGAATCTCGATTAATATAGATAACAATGAGGAGATAAAAATATGGACGATTCCCTTATAACATAAGGCATAAAAAAAAGCATTCTCACAAAAGAGTTCCATTTAAAGGAAGGGAATACACCATGTAATTTCTAATTGTTACATACACATGAATAATAAAGCTATAACTGTTGTAAATAACTCCAGTCCGTTTAACTTCAGTGTTTAACCACTTCAATGGAGATGGAATATTTTAGTGCCTGCAGTCCCCTATTTCCAAGCAGTTTAACAGTGAATGAGGGTCCCTGGCGTCCCATAGCACTGCCCCCCGGAGGTGTGGCTAAGGCACAGATTATACACTTCTGTCTAGCCATACTGATCCATGCCAGCAATTAGTCACTGATAGGCTGAAAGGTCAGCTGCCCACTACTGCTCAGGTTAATACTTCCTTATTATATCAATTAGTACAGAGGGGAAGGTGAATTTTGCGGTTTGAATGAAAGGTTAACAGGAACATCTAATGATCATATATCACTTTGTAGAACTCATGCTGAAATAAAACCATTTAGTATCACCCCTAGACAGGGGAAGGGCTATCTATAGCATTCGGTTAGGATTTGAGAGTTTAATGGTCTTGAATTTACAAGCACAATGTGATGACCCTATTAAGTGGGTAGTGGAGCCCTCTTGTGGTTATGGATGTGTACTATCAATACAACCAAAAAAAAAATAAAAAAAAAATACTAAAAACAGAAAAGGCACATTTAACAAGTCTCCACTTTTCAAGTAAAAATTTTGACAATAGATATTACTGAACATAAAATCACACAAAAAACTTTAAATGGACAATGGGAGGATGAAATGGTCTGTTTATCTGGAAATCAAATCACACAGGAAGCAAGGTAATAAAACAAAAATATATACTTTAATGCGAAATACTCCACAGCAATAATGGTTTATAAACTTTATTCTAGCAAATAAATTATTAATTTATATTTAATTGAAATATTCATCAAAACTCCACTGAATGGATGGCAAGTATGAGAGCTCAGTCTTTACACCCCAGGTCCTTTCCCTGCACTCCCCACACCAGGACGGTAGGAATTCCCTGCACCCCCTACACCAAGAATCCAGACACTAGGAATTCCCTGCATCCCCTACACCAAGAATCCGGACAGTAGGAATTCCCTACACCAAGAATCCGGACAGTAGGAATTCCCTACACCAAGAATCAGGACAGTAGGAATTCCCTACACCAAGAATCAGGACAGTAGGAATTCCCTACACCAAGAATCAGGACAGTAGGAATTCCCTACACTCCCTACACCAGGAATCCTGACAGTAGGAATTCCCTGCACCCCCTACACCAAGAATCAGGACAGTAGGAATTCCCTGCACCAAGAATCTGGACAGTAGGAATTCCCTACACTCCCTACACCAGGAATCCTGACAGTAGGAATTCCCTGCACCCCCTACACCAGGAATCAGGACAGTAGGAATAGCCTGCTTCCTTAGGAATCAGTGATGTAGGAATCCCCTCCCCCAGTAATCAGTGATGTAGAAATCTCCCCCAGGAACCAGGGCTGTAGGTTGGACATAGAAGTAAAAATCTGAGTGAGCATCCTCCTCTACATGTCAGGATGTAGCTGTTTAGAGACTGGTCTAAAGCCAACAGCAAGGATATAGACTGACATATCAAGCCATGGTTCTGCAATCACCAATATTTCCTGCCAGTTTGAAACTGAACACTTTAATCCAAACGCTAAGCTCTCCCACCAACCATGAGTCAGTGGCATTATCTGGCTTGCCAGCCAAAGGGGTCAAGACATGAAGGCCCTCACATTGCCTCGAATTACAGCCCTACAGATCGGGCAAGTCCTAAGGTTAGGGGCACAGTCTGTGCAGACCACCAGGTGTCCACATGGCACAAAAACCATAGACACGTCTTTGTCCAAGCACACTTTGCACATGCGCTCATCCTTTAGACGTTGTAGCTGCTCTTCTGTACTGACTTGGGGATCTAGGAGAAAACACAACATTCGCTGTCACGACACCTTCATAACCCTCAATTAAACAAAGCAGCTTCCTCCTTAAAATGTTCCTTTTTCAGTTATTATCAAACACCAAGAGGACGCTGAACACAATGCTTCTCACAGATGTCTGCATTCAGGGTCCGCCATTAGTCCAGATTTTTTTTTTTTTAATATTATATGCTCCATTTTTAGAGTAAATGTCATAGTTAAGGCCAAAGTAGCCGAAGTGGAAGCATAGCTGACTTGGAGAATTTTTCAAGTTTGGCTATTTTGGCCTGTGAAATTCACGTTGAATTCTCATTTTAGTGAATACGGAGTTAAAAGGGAAACTTCGGGCACCAATATAACTTTACAGGAACGCTATATCGTTGGGAATGTATGTTTATTTTCCTAACACTATACTACCCTAGTCACTGCCATGGTTTAAAAATGAAAAGAATTCTTTTTTTTAAAATTACCTCTTAGAATTATCAATATGCCGTATTTTTGCATGCTTAAATCTTTGTAGTTCTTGCTCAAAAATAAAATAAAAGATTTTGCAGAATGCTGCACCATTAGTCAGCACCCAGTGTAAGCACTGAGTAAGCTGCTTTTAATTCACACCCTGGCTGCAAACGACCACAGTAGTGATATCCTCACAATATGCCTCTCTGGGTGTCCTCTGACAGGTCATTTAGATCATATGGTGCTGTCAACGACTGACCTGATAAGGAAGTATGAGGAGGGGCTCTCCTAACACGGGGCACGTCATTGTGCGTCCATGTTTTAGGAAGGGTCTTCTGTGACTAATATTCCCAGTTTATCTGTTCTCCACTACTTAAGGATCGGTTATTCCAAAGTGGAAACCATGCAGGGAGTGCAGTAAATATGCAGGATATTGCATGCTGCCGTACATTTCCAAAGAACAAGGATGATTCAGTGTGCAACATGTTTATTAAGAGGCTAATATGCCCTAATAAGCCCCACTGTTGCAGCTAAAAGTTCTTTGTTGATCCCCAGTATGGGGATCCATTTTCTAATACTCAAAATATTACCCCATTTACAGTAAAAGAGCGAAGAAGCTGAATGCTTACAATCCATTTACCAGTTCGGTACGTGGCTATACAACATGTTACCTGCGTTCTTATGATGCTGGGATTCAGAGCCTTCAGTCGGGATCGGAGCATCTGGGAATCTTGCTGGCTCTACAGAGAAAATTATGGATTTATATTAGAACCGAGCCGGGGTAGTTACAGCTTAGACTGTTCTATTCCTGAGCAGGTAGGCCGTGCTAAGTTAGTAGAGTGTTAATATAGGTAAAAACAAACCAAAAAACCAAAACCCATTCAATGCCCCATAATGAAGCTGAATAGGAATTATACAGAAACTGAGGTCACTGTGGCTGTGTGCTGTTCAACTATTGTCAGGAATTCACTACGGAATCGTGAGACTGAATATAGTGTAAAGAAAAAGAATTCTCCAAATCCACAGGGCTTCCGCTATTTTGGCAATTTCCTGACATGTTGGTGTTTAGTGAAGAAGCTGATAGGAGAGAGCAGTACATCGCAGCAACTCTCAGAGCCAGCATTTACACCCAGGTACCGACATTAAATCACGTAACCATCACCAAACCTCGGTGAGACAGCTGGCACCACATGGATTTACTGTGACAAACATAAAAACAGTCCAGCTACAGTGAAAAGCCGTCTACCACCACAGGAGTGTCAGCACACTGTGAGTGATCATTCTGATAGCGTCTCTATTCATGGTTTAACTATCTCGGCTCACCACTTAATGGTAAGTCATGCAAGGTCTTGATTCAGACCATCTGAAGCTTGACCCACTTGTGTTAAAGCAGGGCTACCAGAGATTAGCTTTACTTCATGCCATGAGAATGCGTCTTAATATTCCATCATAAAAATGGGATCAAGGTACCTCCTCTCTGCGAAATTCTCTCCTCTTCCGCCCCTACTAGGTCAGTCACAAGGTCAGACAGAGAGGTGTACGAGGTCCCGGTCAACAGCTGCCTACTCTGTACCAGAGTTAGCACCAGGTCCTGAGCAAAGCCCATGTGTAAGGCCCCTTGTACTACAGAGGACTGAAGGGCAGAGTGACAGTCACCAGGAGCATCTGCAAGGTACCAGGGGGCAAGGAGAAGTCACATTCAACTGTACTGCAAAAAGACAACTTTTCCAGACTCCCCCTCCCCCCAACAAGGTTAGGAAGAAACACTGGGCATGAGAACCAGGTAAAAATTATATAAATTATCCGTTTACACAGACCAGCTGTCCCTGACAGACATGCTCCAATACAAACTGTCTGCATAGATCAATCTAGAATTATCTTAATGTTTAAAGCACTTTGCAAGTCATTCTAGCCATGTCTGTTCAGATGTTGCAGTTTAATCTGTAAAGACACTACCATTGCAATACCATGGCTAATCTTTATGAATAGGGCACATTTTAAAGCATTAAACTTGATTTGTTTCCGTTTCGATTTATAAATGAAAAGTGTTGCTCCACAACTAGAGTGAGTACATAGGGTACATAACGTAAAAGGAATCCAACACTTTATAAGACACTCACTGCCACCTCGTTCCCGTGAGTACTCACTGTATGAGCTTCCTGAAGGGTACATTGGTATAACCCAAGGGCAACAAACTGCCATGGCAGTCATTTACCACCTCACTTTGAAGGACTTTAGTCTCACTTCAAACCGTTTCACAGATGTTTGTCCTAAACCCGATAATCAGACACAGATTACAAGAAAGCCTGCCATAGCCCTGACGCCCTCTAGTGGTTGTAGACTAACTATGGCCAACTAAGCTGCACCACGCTGAGAATGATGGCAAGTGATGTCTACAGCAGGTGGGCTTCAAGAATGACCTGTGCAAGTGAAACCTGCCACGCACACATCTAGCAGACAATGATCCGTTACAGTCTGCTGCTGCAACGGCAGCATTTTATGGCAATCCAAACTGCAGCCCATGTCCCACAAACCAGTTAGATTAGTTATTATAATAATATGCCGGAGAGATTAACAGACCAGCTCTGCAAAACTGCATTGGGAACTTCTAAGTGTTCTAAACTGGCAGATGCACACACTGGAAGCAGTTAGCTCTGATCCTTAGCAGGCGCTCATGCTATTCTAAGCAGGTATGATAGTTTGGAGCTTGTGAATTTAATGCCCTGCAGTTGCCCACTCCCACACTGGGTAGAGTCCAATATAAAGGCATCTTATCGAGTCTTAATACGAAGGTAGAACTGAACAATTTGTCACCAACCTAATGCCACACGCACAATGAACACACCCTACTACAACAGCCAGGTAAGAGATGGTGATCTCATGGCACACTGGTACTGGCGTTATTTGGACCATAGCAAATAAAAACTCACCGGTCATGGAAGTAGGACTCCTGACAGATATGCGAGGATTTTCAGGCTGTGGAGTAGAAAACCAGAATTAGTAGAGTGAGGTTAAACCTAGCCCAGAATCCCCGACATGTTAACCCCATTAATTGCCAACTCACAGAGACATCTGGACTACTGAAATAAGTTTCCTGTATATTCTGAACGTACGTCTGTCCCATGGAACGCACTAGGAATTCACACCTGTCACAGGAGACAAAATGCAGGTTAGCATCACCAACCCCTGCCCCCCTTCCTTCCCCAATAAAGCTGTGGGGTATTATACCTTGGAAACCACTTGGCGTGCTCTATCCAGGGGTCGTCCCCTCTCTCCCAGTTCCTCAAACCCCCATCGCAGTGAAAACACTTCACATTATCTCTGTGACCTGGAAGGGAAGCAAATACATTGGTCCATTTTGGGCCTTTTGATGTAATTTGCTGGATTTGACATTAGGCACTTTAAATTCAGGAAACCTAATATTAACACTTTAACAACCCAGACTTTTTGAACTGATCAGTGGCATTCACAATTCCATGTGGATCTGTGTTATAATGTAAAAGGTCACTCTTTGCATCATTTCAGTTTTAAAAATCACCTGAGACTGGCAGATAACTGCAAGATGATCAGTGTGTCAGGCTACCAGTGTGCCCACATACATCTAGGACAGAATCACGAACCTGGACAGTCAATTACTTAGTGTCAGGATGCCAGTCTGCCCACATACAGCTAGGACGGAGCTAAGGACTGTGCCAGCCAGTTATTCAGTGTCAGGCTGCCAGTGTGCCCATATACAGCTAGGACAGAGTCACAAACCCTGGCAACCACGGTACACTTCCCCATCAATTTACAGAGAAGTACCAATCACTGTGTTTTACATGTTCCAAGTCGGTGAACTACTTATCCCATAAAGTTATAAATAGGCTCCTGATGGGGTGAATCTATTCCTGGTTAAGAGGGGGGCACCGGCTCGTAGCTACAGACCAACAAAAAAAAAATATTTACAGAAAAATGTAGGTTTTTCACCAATATATTTTCCATCTATAACACGAAATAAAAACAAGTTTTATGACACCCCTGCAGTACAAAGAGACCCGTAATAGTTGTCCCAGTTCTGGTTTGTTCTTGCAGCTATGGACCTCACACCACTAGTATCAGGTGTCTGCAGACATCATGGGATTACTGCCCCAGGAAGCAGGCTAGAATAGCCCCCCCCATCATTACCATAAAAGGGATTTACTACTTAAAATGAATGAGCTACTAGTGGAGGCTCCTAATAGAATAACAGCAAATAAATTTACAAGAGAGGATTTTTGCAAATTCTGCAGCAGTTCTTTATAGGAGCAATTGACTGGGCTTATATTGTGAAATGGACCACAAGATGGCAGAGCAGCCATAGTGCTTTACCAGTGAACATTACACTACTACTCTTAAAAAGGTATTCACTAAACAAGCATGAATGAATTAAAAGCAGAACGGCAAACAAATTTGGTCTAAAAAAAAACAAACAAAAAAACACACCACATGACTATATCAGAGCTGGGAAGGTTTCCTTCATTTTGCATTCATGATACACTAATGAATAATCTCAGAATTTAGAACATGGACACTCCTCTGGAACACACTGCCACTTTGGGGTATATAGCAGAACGAACCATAGTTTAACCCCCTTAGAAAGTTAACAAAAACCTACAGCCTTAGCTCTGCCTTACCTGCAATTAAACAAACCCCCCCATAATAGTGCTGGCAGATTCAGTCACAAAGCTCCCAGCCTTACAGGCTCCTTCCTCTACATCGGGGGTAGGCAGTTAAGACCACCATTGGACACATCATTCCCCCCCCAAAGAAAAATAATACACCCGAAATCCATTCTTGAGTGTCATTGAAACAGTGCTCCTAATTTTTGCCTGGGCAGATTAATGCTAGCCTGTAGTCATGTGACACCAGGAGAGTCCTGTGATTGGCTGATGACTCATGTTGCAGTGGCAGCAGAATACTGTTTCTAGATGTGTAACAATAGACTGTGTGAACCTTGTGCCATTGACAGCTTTAGCTAGAATGCCCCCTTTATACAGGGCACTAGCTTGGAATTGCTAGAATTTAATGGGAATCTCCAATTTTAGGCCAATATTGTGGAACGACAGGTTACACAGATTTTTCTTCACCCAATTCGTCCATTTTGCCCTAAAATAACTTTGGAAATGTGCACAATTCACATGGGGGGGCGGCGGGCAGATATTCGTTACATTTACATGGCAAAATGTAGACAACAATGGCTGAGCTGTGACCAGCATTGACACGAAAATTCTTCATTTGGATTTGTTGCAATTCAAAGTTTAGTGATAAATCACTTTCTAACCTGCAACACACACCCAGCGCCCCACCACACCCAGCCCCACAATCTGCTCCCACCACTCCCAGGGCCCTGTAACCAACACGCCTTACAACCATCAAACCCCACAACCTGCTCCCACCACTTCCAGGGCCCCGTAACCTAAACGCCACACTCCAAAGGCCCCGTAACCTACAGGCCCTAAAACCAACCCCAAAATCTGCTCCCACCACTCCCAAGGCCCTGTAACCAGCAGGCCCCACAATCTACTTGCTACCACAGACACTCCCAGGGCCCCGTAACCAGCACGCCCCACAATCTACTTGCTACTACCAACACTCCCAGGGCCTCGTAACCAGCACGCCCCACAATCTACTTGCTACTACCAACACTCCCAGAGCCCCGTAACCAGCACGCCCCACTCCCAGGGCCCTGTAACCAGCACGCATTACAACCATCAAACCCCACAATCTGCTCCCCCCACTCCCAGGGCCCCGTAACCAGCACGCCCCACAATCTACTTGCTACTACCAACACTCCCAGGGCCCCGTAACCAGCACGCCCCACAATCTACTTGCTACTACCAACACTCCCAGAGCCCCGTAACCAGCACGCCCCACGCCCATAACCAACACGCCTTACAACCATCAAACCCCACAATCTGCTCCCACCTCCCCATAACCAACATGCCCCACAATCTGCTCCCACCAGTCCCAGGGCCCTGTAACCTACATGTCCTACAACCAAAAACCCCACAACCTGCTCCCACCACTTCCAGGGCCCCGTAACCTACAGGCCCTAAAACCAACCCCAAAATCTGCTCCCACCACTCCAGGGGCCCCGTAACCAGCACGCCCCACGCCCATAACCAACACGCCTTACAACCATCAAACCCCACAATCTGCTCCCACCTCCCCATAACCAACATGCCCCACAATCTGCTCCCACCAGTCCCAGGGCCCTGTAACCTACATGTCCTACAACCAAAAACCCCACAACCTGCTCCCACCACTTCCAGGGCCCCGTAACCTACAGGCCCTAAAACCAACCCCAAAATCTGCTCCCACCACTCCAGGGGCCCCGTAACCAGCACGCCCCACGCCCATAACCAACACGCCTTACAACCATCAAACCCCACAATCTGCTCCCACCTCCCCATAACCAACATGCCCCACAATCTGCTCCCACCAGTCCCAGGGCCCTGTAACCTACATGTCCTACAACCAAAAACCCCACAACCTGCTCCCACCACTTCCAGGGCCCCGTAACCTACAGGCCCTAAAACCAACCCCAAAATCTGCTCCCACCACTCCAGGGGCCCCGTAACCAGCACGCCCCACAATCTACTCTTGCTACTACCACCAACACTCCCAGGGCCCCGTAACCAGCACGCCCCACTCCCAGGGCCCCGTAACCAGCACGCCTTAGCCATCAAACCCCACAATCTGCTCCCACCACTCCCAGGGCCCCGTAACCAGCACGCCCCACAATCTACTTGCTACTACCAACACTCCCAGGGCCCAGTAACCAGCACACCCCACTCCCAGCGCCCCATAACCAACACGCCTTACAACCATCAAACCCCACCATCTGCTCCCACCACTTCCAGGGCCCCGTAACCTACAGGCCCTAAAACCAACCCCAAAATCTGCTCCCACCACTCCAGGGGCCCCGTAACCAGCACGCCCCACAATCTACTCTTGCTACTACCACCAACACTCCCAGGGCCCCGTAACCAGCACGCCCCACTCCCAGGGCCCCGTAACCAGCACGCCTTAGCCATCAAACCCCACAATCTGCTCCCACCACTCCCAGGGCCCCGTAACCAGCACGCCCCACAATCTACTTGCTACTACCAACACTCCCAGGGCCCAGTAACCAGCACACCCCACTCCCAGCGCCCCATAACCAACACGCCTTACAACCATCAAACCCCACCATCTGCTCCCACCCCATAACCAACACGCCCCACAATCTGCTCCCACCACTTCCAGGGCCCCGTAACCTACAGGCCCTAAAACCAACCCCAAAATCTGCTCCCACCATTCCCCGGGCCCTGTAACCAGCACGCCCCACTCCCCGGGCCCCGTAACCAGCACGCCCCACTCCCCGGGCCCCGTAACCAGCACGCCCCACTCCCAGGGCCCCGTAAACCAGCACGCCCCACTCCCCGGGCCCCGTAACCAGCACGTAACCCACACCCCAGGGCCCCGTAACCAGCACGCCCCACTCCCAGTCAGACATAACTGCTATGGGTTAATAGGTTCTTTAAGATTGGGATATCAATTTAACGTTACAGACACAAGAGCTAGCTTGTCATTGATCTGCTACAATAAGAGACTACATGAGGCTGCAGTAGATTGCAAGCTCCTGGGCCCAGTACCTGTGTAGAAGAAGCCAGCCCGGGCCAGCAGGTGGGGGGCCACCTCGGCATAGGGGGGCCAGTCCTGGTAGGTGTCCAGCCGGTCCCTCTCCTCCATCATATCGGGGTACACGGCCTGGCCCCCCTCTTCCTCCGGGGCCCCTGGGAGCCGCAGGATCTGTCCGTCCACCGAGTCCCCGGGCTCGGCCAGCACGTTGCCCACCGGCCGGCCCAGCAGGAAGGGGCAGCGGGGGGAGAAGCGGCCGTGCTCCGCGGAGGGTCGGTCCCCGGGCTCCCAGCTCCGCAGCACCAGGCCGCAGCAGAAACACTGCACCCGGTCCCCGGGGCCCAGATAGTAAAACCCGGCCCGGGCCAGCTCCCACGGACACACGGCCCCCGGGGGCCAGCCGCAGAAACTGCGCCGCCTGCACGCCTCAAACCGCATGGCGGGCTTCACCAGGGCCCCCGGGGGCCCCCAGCCAGGACGGTGCTCGCGGCTCCAGGGGCCCAACATCCCCTCCTCTCCGGACATGTCCAGCAAGGGCCGAGCCCGGGCCACAGCATCCCAGCAACTCATCACAGCAACTGGGGGGGGCTACCAGGGGGGCTGGTATTTAATATACACC